ATATACACACACACACATGAAATATTTTGTCATTTGTTTTTTCATGCTGCAATAGCATTTGCCACGAATAATATTCTTGACTTAGGCCTAAAAACTACCTAAGACGGCGACGACTCCAAGAGCAACATGCACGTTGTGAACGTACCATACTTTCCTTGAAAAACTTCCAGGCTTAATTCCCACTATCCATTGGAGCCTTACCAAACCAAACTGATAGTGTTTGAAAATTTTATTTTAGAACATCTATGATGTGACTTGCATCAACAACAAGGTGAAGTCATATTCAATGCACAGATCTCGATAGACAAACCCTAATACCCACTATACATCACATGACCCGAGCTGCAGATTCGGTCTATTAGTTGAGCTGTGTATAGTAGACTATAGGAAAGTTATACGAAGGTTAGATTTAATGCTTGAAAAAATTATTGGACTGTGGGGATAGGCAAATAACATTGGGAGTTGCAGTGGACGTCACGATTAACTTTTAATAGAATAATACTGTATCATCTAGAAATGTTGTCACAAAATTAGTATTTTTTAATGTTTATTCCACAGCTCCACTATTCACAACAGAGGATGTTGTTGCTGCAAGAACCCCTGTTGGTTGTTGGTGCTTTCTATCTGTTATTCCTTACTGTTATTGTTCTTGTGAGATTGGACTTCTCCATTACCAAGGTAGGGTGTTGCTATATTCAGCCAGTGATGTTTTTATTAACATTATTAATTACGTTATCGCCATCTCATGCATCATCTTGTATTGAATACAGTTGAACCTCTATTAAGTTGACACCTTCGGAACCAAATAAAGCATCACCTTAATTAATAGGGGTTGGCCATACTGTGAAAAGATATATAAATCTAATTCATATTGAAATTAAATTTTAGGATGAAGCTAACGAGACACGTATGAAGGTTGCAAGTTTAGTGGAGCAAGTAATTAAAGCGCAAGACACGCGAAGTGAACTGTTTAAACGTTACGAAAAAGCTATCACTGATTTCAAATCTAGCAAATCTCAGTCTGGTAAGTTTATATCAACACATTCATTCATTCCTTCTACGTTCATAACTTGCAACCTGCTAAATATGTTTGAAACAGAAACACAAATTACGATCCAGAGTTGTGGGCAAACAAAGCTAAGTTGAGGAGTTACGGTTACACAACAAAAATGTGGTATAACATATAACCAAAACTAGTGCGATTTACAGCTGTACTAACTAGCAAAAACAATCAAACACTATGATTTAAAACAAGAATGATTATTTATTTTATTATATGAAATATATTTCAATGGATTATAAAAATACTAGGCATATATACTGAATAATAAAAGTAATGATAATTTTTATTGATTTTAACAATTTTGTTGACTATGTCTTCCTTCTAGCTTTCCAAGCTGCTGTCAAGAAGATCAACACACAATTAAAGGAGGTTGCCCAGAATGTGGCCAGCATCCAGGCATCCGTCAAGCAACAGAATGAAGTTGCAGAAAAGGTGTGTTGATTTATTATAGAG